CCCTTGGTTACTAATTTTAATAGGTGACTTCTTTTTGGCAGGCTACAGAAAGTATCCTGTCCGCACGGCAGAGTCTGGCAAACTTCCCGTGTCGTACTCAATATGCCAAATACCAGTAACAATGATGGGTCTCATTCTCCTAACCCTGAAAGAGCATTGAATATGGGTCTTTTAAAATCTCGGGGCTGGAGAGATAGCACAGTGGGTAGGGCGTTTGCCTTGCACGCAGCCAACCCGGGTTCGATTCCCAGCATCCCATATGGTCCCTTGAGCACCGCCAGGAGTAACTCCTGAGTGCAGAGCCAGGAGTAACCCCTGTGCATCGCCAGGTGTGACCCAAAAAGCAAAAAAAAAAAAAAATAAAAATAAATAAAATAAAATAAAATAAAATCTCAGGGCTAGGAAGAAGGAGACGTTAATGGAGCCTTCTTGAGGCAATCAACGAACAACAGGATGATTGTGATTGTAATCGTGACTTCTTTTTATAACTTGTGAATTTTTAATATTGTTTTTAGGACCATGCTCAGCTGTGCTCAGGGTCTACTTCTGACTGTGCTTAGGAAACACTCCTGGCAGGCTTGAGGGACCATATAGGGTCACGAGAATTGAACTCAGGTTAGCCAAATACAAGGCAAGCACCTTACCTGCTATCTCTTCAATCCAATTTTTAATATTTTGATCAAACCTTTCTAACCTTACTTTTATTTTTTAATTGCTTTAGTTTGCAGGGTTTTTAAAAACATTTCTGTTTTGTCATGGGGCCATACTTAGCTCTTTGGGGCTTATTTCTGGCTGCTCAGTGATCACTCCTGGTGGGACTGAGGGAACCACATGCAGAGCAAGTATCTTACTCTATGTACAATCTCTCCAGCCCAATTATTTTTTAATGCAAATTATGCTTCATATTTGACCCATGAGAGCTTCTTTGCATTGACCCCTGTATCTTTTGTCGTGATCTCAGCATAGGGGGTTATGGGCTCATCTCTTCATTCTTGTCTGATACTTGGAAGGGGATCCCTAGTTCCTTGAAACAGTGCATACTACTTAAGAGGTCACTATTAGAATGTTGGTATTGCTTATTCATGCTTTGTCTTTGTTTCTAGGACTTTCCAAAATAAAGAGCTAAAAACTACATATTTTGATGCCATATTGATATTTCTAGTTCAAATATAGCATTGCAGAAGTTTTACTTCTTAAATTTTGTACTTATGTTTCTTTTTGAAAGTATTTCTAAAATATTCGTTTAACTTACTCACTTTGTTCTAAAATATGTATAAACTTTCCAGATTACAACATTTTAAGTAATAATAATATTACAAATAGTAAGAGTGCCAAATGAAGTTAAGATTCTGTGCAGTGCTAGTTGTCCTTATGTTCTACTAAAACAGTACTGTCAAAATGCTGTTCTCCAAAGTTGAAATATTTTTGCATGTATGCTTATATCACCAATTTGATATTCATTTAGATTTATTGGTTTCAGTTTGGGCACATTTTATATTGCTTTTTATTTATGCTTTTTATATATATAATATTGCTTCTAAGATAAAACTGTAATGTGTCATTTCCATGTTTTCCCTTATTAAACATACAAGACTTTTTTCTTGAGTTCTAAATAAGAACTGACTAGAAAACCCAAACTGTCATCTATGTTCATTTCTAGACTCAGATGAATAAAATAAAAAATGAAGTGTGGCATACTTACAGAAATAAAGTGTTATAAAGAAATACTATGAACAACTGCTGCCAAAGTTAGACATTTAAGTTACACAATGCTAGGTGAAATGGAACTATTTCCTAGGGACTGTTTTTCAATTTTAATTTTTTCTAATTTAATTTTTCCTTTAAAATTAAAATTAGAATTTTCATATGATCTGTATACAGACTCCAAAGAAATGAAAATAAATTTGAAGAAATAACTTTATACTTAGTTCACAGCTGCATTTCACACAAAAACCAAAAGGCAGCAAAAGTGGAATGACTGGATGAACAAAATTTTTATGTGCTTACAATGGAATACTACTCAGTTTTTCTGAAGTCATCATCCTGGATGGTCTTATGCTAAATGAAATAAGCTAGTCACCAAAAAACACAAAGACATTTGATGCTAGTGGAGTGTCAAATTTGATACTGAGAGTGTCAGACTCATAGAAACAGAAGTAGAAATGTGGTTGTGGGGCTGGAGCGAAAGCAGAGAGGGTAGGGCGGTTGCCTGGCGCCTGACTGACCTGGGTTTGATTCCCAGCATCCCATATGATCCCCCGACCACCTCAAGGAGTAATTTCTGAATGCATGAGCCAGGAGTAACCCTTGTGCATTGCCGGTGTGACCCAAAAAGCAAAATAATAATAATAATAATAAATGTGATTGTGACGGAATGAGGCAGGTGGGGAATGGGAATTATTTTTCAGTGGATATAGGCAGTTTCAGTTTTGCAACACAAAGAGTTCTGGATATGGATGGTGGTGATGGATGTACAATATGAGAACACTTAATGGCCATTGAATTATACCCTTAAGAATGGTTAAGATAGTTTTGTTACTAACAGCGTATCACAATTTTTTTTTATAAAAGAATCAAAGTTGCGGGGCTGGAGCAATAGCACAGTAGGTAAGGCCTTTGCCTTGCACATGGCCAACCCGTGTTCAATTCCCAGCATCCCATATGGTCCCCTGAGCACCGCCAGGAGTAATTCCTGAGTTTAGAGCCAGGAATAAGGAATAACCCCAGTGCATGGCCAGGTGTGACCCAAAAAGAAAAAAAAAAAAGAATCAAAGTTGCATGGAAGAACTAAACACAAGTTTATATTTTGACTCAAAAATTTCACTCCTATGCTGAAAGTAGACTATAGACCAAATATGATTGCCACTCAATGCCTCTCTTGCAAACCACAGAACCCAAAAGGAGAGAGAGAGAACAAAAGGGAATGCCCTGCCACAGAGGCAGGGTGGGATGGGGGGGTTGGGGGATGGGAGGGATACTGGAATCCGTGGTGGTGGAGGGTGAGTGCTGGTGGAGGGATGGGTACTTGACCATTGTATAACTGAAACCCAAGCACAAAAATTTGTAAGTCTAACTGTACCTCATGGTGTTTCACTAATAAAAAATAAATAAATAAATTTTGCTCCTAGATATTTAATCAAGAGGCATGAAGACTTGTGTGACAACAATCTATTGATAAGAAATGCTCAGAATACTAATCTTGAACAAACTTCAGATATATCAATAGCGTAATGTTTCTGAGCAAAAGAAATCAGGCACAAAAGGGAACATACTGTTATATAAAGATTAATAAATAATGTGTCCTTTGATAAAGAGGTTAGCAAGTTGTGGTGTATGCAGGCACACAAAATAGAATACTAAGTCATAAGAAATGGAATATTGCCAGAAAATTCAGGAGAAGACAATTACTGTATTTTTCACTTCATGAAAATTAAAGGCCAAAATATGATAAAACTGCCTCCACTCCTTTGTCAGCTAATAGAACACATGGCCAGAGGGCATGGGGTGTGTGTATGTTGAGAGGTTGGGTTGGGAGGGGTGACTAAATGAAATGGGTGACAGAGATCAAAGAGTAAGATCTTCCAGTAAAAAAGAAGTGATTCATAGGAATCTAATGGACAGCATTATGACTGTAGTTAATTGTACTATATTATGCATTTGAAAGTTGCTAAAAGAACAAATCTTATTTCTCATCACAAGAAAAAATAGTAACTATGTCTGATCATGGATGGAAACTAGTCACTGTGATTATCATTTGCAGTGTATACAAATATTAAATAATTTGGTGAACACCCAAATAAAGACTATTTCATGTGTCAATATCTTTCAAAAAAAAATAACAAATCTATCCAAAGTACGGAATCAGAAGTCAGAGTAGAGGTTGCCTGTGGGAAAGGATGGTGGGATATTGGGAAATTTGGAGGGCAGCTATGTGCATCTGTCTCTGTGTTACTGACACTAAAAAGAACCAAGAACTCTGCACTGATGAAAATATCCAGTATGGGAATGAGAGTATTGGTTCTTCAGGTGCATGTCTTTGTTAAAATTCATCCAATTGGATGCTGAAGAACTGTATTTCTTTTTTACCTTCCCCCCTTTTTTTTTCAGTGCTCAGGGCTTACTCCTGAGTCTGTGCTCAGCAATCACTCCTACAGTGCTCAGGGGACTATATGGGGTTCTAGGGATCAAACCCAGTTCATCCGGGTGCAAGGCAAACACACTACCTGCTGTACTATACTCCGGCCCCAAGAACTCTATTTCTATTTGTTAATTGTATCTTACATAATTAGTGTTTTTTTTAAAGTTCTCTCTTTGCTGTTTTCCTACTCCCTTGGGGCCAATGAAGCAAGTATAGTAACAATAAAATGGTTTTTAATGCTATTTTCTACTTTAAAATAGATCACATGAAAAAAAACAAGACTGACTGCTCATATCTCAAGAGCAGTTTGCTTAGAACAAAACCAGGGCAGCAGACTGTGCTGACTGATGTAGCCTTCTCTAGCCACTAGCACAGCAACAAAGAGGCGAGAAAGGAGGCGAGGGGAGGGGCTGGGAGGTGTGCAAGCTTCCTACCGCTGGAAAACACTGCACAGGGGCAAGAGATAGTTCCAGAAGGTGACGAGGCTTGGGGGAAAGCTAACCTCAGTGTTATCTCTGCTATCTGTGAAAGCTGGTTCAAGCTGGTTGCAAACTGGTTGCCTTGGCAACAGGAGCTACTTAATGAGTGGTGCTGGGCAGCAGGCACAAACATGTCTCTCGCAAATGCATGTAGAGAAATGATGCCTCTTCACCAAATGATCCATTTTAGTCTGCGTGCTTAGGTCTTTTTTCTTCAAAAATCAGAAGATGCCCAAAGCTATCATCAGAAGCTTTGATGCCTTCTTTCACTACTCTCCTCCCCCATTATTGCTATCTTCTTGTAATATAATAATTCTTTTTTAAATTGGAGAGGAGGGTGCTTGTGTCACACCTGGCTGTGATCAAAGGCTACTGCTGATTCTGTGCTCAGGAGTTACTCCTGGCAGTGCTCCGGGGACCATATGCAGTTCCAGGGATCTAACTTGGGTTGGCCACATGTAAGGTAAGCTCCTTATACCCTGTACTATCTCTCCAGTCCAGTAATTCATCTTGATTTTTTTTAGGTATTTCTTAGTTGTATTTGCATGCATATGCTGCTAACTCAATTTCTCAACTCTAGATACTGCCTATATTAAGGACTGAGTTAATTCATAATATTCCTTTTCTTCTTACCTCTTTTTCATAGCTAAACCATTTTTGTTTGTTTGTCTGTTTGGTATGAGGTCCCAGGAACCAAATGCAGGGCCTCATACATGCAAAACAACTTCTCTACTACTGAGTTACAAACCCAGACCCTGTATCCTTTGCTGTCATTTTACTGGTTACCCTTCCTATGGCAGGGGCGGGGGCGGGGTGTTTCAGAGGCCCGGAGCTATGCAAAGGCACATCCCTGCCTCACGGGGGCGACATACCAACATGAAAGCTAGGCAAGTCCCACTGAACAGGTGGGGATGCAAAGGAGCTGTCACCACCTTCCACCTTCCTGGTGCGGTGTGGCACCACGGCAGGTCGGCTTTCCTATCATCCGTTCACATGTCTTGTCCTTGAACAAAGATGCCCCCACAGTTCCCTTTAAGAACCTCCCTCCATCCCAGTTTCAATTCATTTCGTATGCTCCCTAACATTTTCCATCCTGCCTTTGAGTCTCTGGATTGTTCTTCTTAGGTTCCTCTCCCTCCATCATGAGAATCCATTTCCCAGTCGAAACATGTTGTTTCCTACCAGCCTGCTGAGCATTTTTTTACCCCCTCCCCTCCCCCCTCCTGAACCCTTTCCATGATCAACTTACTGCCAGGAATACCTGCTTGGAACTGTAGCCAATAGTCCTGTGCATTGGTCTCACAATGTGTTATTTAGTCATTCTTGGCATTGGCTAAGTGCCGGGGAGTTGGGAAAACAAGCAACAAATAAAAGGCGAGACTTGGAGGTGTTTGCCCTCTGAATGTCGATGACAGGTAAATAGTTAGAAGGTGACATGAGAAGGGCTCTAACAGACACGAATAAGGAAGAGTGAGCAGGAAGTGGTGGGAGAGCCTGCAGAGGATGATTCAGTCCTGATATACAGATGATAGATGATAATGGATGAGCCATGTAGGGACTTTTGGGTTTTACCATATGGAAGAGGGTGAAAGACCTGATAAGGCTACCGAAAATAAGAGCACACGAAAATTCCATTAGTTCCTCTAACTGTTTAGAGTTCAGTGAGGTCAGAGTACTCCTCGCATGCTTCAGTTGCCAATCAGATATAGTAAAAGTCATTAGTTTCATTAATGATAATACTCTTGGCTGGCATATCTGGCTTCTCTGTGCTTTTTTTTAAAAATAAATTTATTTATCAAGTCACCGTGAGAGTAGTTACAAAGCTTTCGGTTTAAATCTTCGTCATACAATGATGAAACACTCGTTCCTTCACCAGTGCCCATTTTCCACCACCAAAAACCCCAATATACCCCCCATCCCACCCCCTCCCCTGTGTGGCAGATGGTTTCCACATTACTCTCTACTTTGATTACATTCAATATTTCGACAACAGATTCACCATTATTATTTGGGATTTTACCCCAACACTCACATCTGCCAAAAAGGCAACGTTAGACAATTTGTTTTCTAGTGCTGATAATGAATAGTATACAATTAAATCTGGAGGGATTTCTGCCAAAAGCCGCTGGGTTTCAGATTTGTTTCTAAGTATCTGGGATCATGGTGTAAGCCTCTTGTTGAGTAACCAGAGAGCTCGTTCATGGGCAATGACTCCTCCTTGTGGTGGGGAGGAAAGGACCGGCCCTGCCCCCATCCCATGAGACCCCGCGTGTCTCCTCACTATGGGCCCCTACCCGGCTGTCCATTGACCTCTGGAAGATGGCGGACCCCGAGCCGCCAGGGGGAACAAGCCAAGGCACAAAACCTATTCCCATCTGGGGTTGCGTAGGGCTGTTCACCTAATTTTTTTTTACCAAATAATCAACAGGAGGGTTTTTTTTAATATATATTTTTCAGAAATCCTTAAGCTTCAGACAGATTTTATTGTTATGAACCTTATTTTGAAATTTGCTAGAGACTCTAAGGTTAATTTATAACCAAAATACAGATAGAGTAGAAAAACCTATGAGAATTTTTACCATGTCCTAACCAGACTTTAGCTCTTACCATCATCCTCAGCAGCAGAATATTTCAGGGGATTAAGTACTGTTTTAAAGAGCACATTTTGGAGGCCAGAGCAATAGTTTAGTGGGTAGAAAACCATGTGGCTGACCTAGGTTCAATCTCCAGGACCACATATGGTCCCCTTAGTACAGCTTGGTGTATAGCTGGTATCAAATAAATACATACATATTTTGGGTCCAGGGATGTAGCTCATTGGTTAGAGCATTTGCATTGCATTTGTGAAGCCCTCGGTTGGTTCCATCGAGCCATAAAAAGCAAAGAAGCTAAAATACTTTCAAGGTTGGAGAGATTGCTCAGAGGCCAGGAGTGTATGCTGTGCGTGCATGGGGTCCTGGGCCCAGTTCCTGGAACCATATGATTCCCAAACACTGCTGGCATGACCCTAGTGAACTCCACCACCACATTGCCAGGCCAAAGAATTGAACCATTCAGTGACCCGAGTATCTTTGGGAGTGCCCCACTCCCCAAAATCGCAACATGTTCAACTGGTGTTGACACTTGAGTCATTTCATCCCTATTCTTGGGCCAGGGTTCTTTTTTAAATTATTATTATTTTTTAAAATTTTTATTAGTGACAAACCATGAGGCACAGTTGTAGACTTACAAATTTTTGTGCTTGGGTTTCAATTATACAATGATTAAGTTCCCATCCCTCCACCAGTCCTCCCACATCTCACCCTGTCTCTGTGGCAGGGTATTCCTTTTTGTTCTCTCTCTCCTTTTGGGTGCTGTGGTTTGCAAAAGAGGCATTGAGTGGCAATCATGTTCGGTCTAGAGTCTACTTTCAGCATGCTTCTCAAATCCTGGGAGAATCCTCCCAACACCCTTTATTGAAGGGTGCTCCCTTCTCTATCTGAGCTGCCTTTTCCCCTAGCATGTGTGGCTGGCCTCGAAGCCATGGAGTAAACCTCCTGGTACTTATCTCGGCCATTCTTGGGTGTTAGTCTCCTATTTTGTTACTTTATGTTCCCCAGATGAATGCAATCTTTCTATGTCTATCCCTCTCTTTCTGGTTCATTTCGCTTAGCATGATACTTTCCATGTAGTACCACTTGTATGTAAATTTCATGACTTCATCTTTTCTAACAGCTACATAGTACTCCATTGTGTAGATGTATGAAAGTTTCTTTAACCAGTCATCTGTTCTCAGGCACTCAGGTTTTTTCCAGATTCTGGCTATTGTAAACAGTGCTGCAATGAACAAACAATTGCAGATGTCACTTCAACTATACTTTTTTGCCTCTCTGGGATATATTCCCAGGAGTGGTATTGCTGGGTCAAATGGGAGCTCAGTTTCAAGTTTTTGGAGAATCATCCATACTGTTTTCCAAAAGGGCTGAACCAGTCGGCATTCCCACCAGCAGTGAAGGAGGATCCCTTTCTCGCCACATCTGCACCAGCACCGGTTGCTTTTGTTCTTTTGGCTGTGGGCCAATCTCTGTGGTGTGAGATGATATCTCATTGTGGTTTTGATCTGCATCTCCCTGATTAGTTATGATGTAGAGCATTTTCTCATGTGCCTTTTTGCCATTCGGATTTCTTCTTTGAGAAAGTTTCTGTTCATTTCATTGCTCCATTTTTTGATGGGGTTGGACGTTTTCTTCTTGTGGAGTTCAACCAGTACATTATATATCCTTGATATCAGCCCCTTGTCAGATGTATATTGGGCGAATATCCTTTCCAATTCTGTAGACTGTCTTTGTATTTTGGTCACTGTTTCTTTGGAGGTGCAGAAGCTTCTTCGTTTAAGATAGTCCCATTTGTCTATCTCTGTTTTCACTTGCTGGGCCAGTGGCATGACATCTTTGAAGATACCATTAGCTTCAATGTCATGAAGGGTTTTGCCAACTTTTTCTTCAATGTACCTTATGGATTCTGGTCTGATGTTGAGGTCTTTAATCCATTTTGATCTTACTTTTGTACATGGTGTTAGGCAGAGATCTGAGCCCATTTTTTTTGCGTGTTGCCATCCAGTTTGCCAGCACAATTTGTTAAAGAGGCTTTCCTTACTCCACTTCACATTTCTTACTCCTGTATCAAAGATTAGATGATCATTTGTTTGAGGGGAGATGTCAGTATATTCAACCCTGTTCCATTGGTCTGCAGCTCTGCCTTTGTTCCAGTACCATGCTGTTTTAATTGTTACTGCTTTGTAGTAGAGTTTGAAGTTAGGGAGATTGATTCCTCCCATTTTCTTTTTCCCAAGAATTGCTTTAGCTATTCGTGGGGACTTATTGTTCCATATGAATTTTAGGAGTGTTTGCTCTATTTCTTTGAAGAATGTCATGGGTATCGTTATAGGGATCGAATTGAATTTGTACAATGCTTTGGGAAGAATTGCCATTTTGACAATGTTAATTCTCCCAATCCATGAGCAGGGGGCATCTTTCCATTTCCTTGTGTCCTCTTTTATTTCCTAAAGTAGTGTTTTGTAGTTTTCCTTGTACAGGTTCTTTACTTCCTTAGTTAAGCTGATTCCTAGGTTGATTCCAACCCTTGATTTTCTGGGGTACAATAGTGAACGAGATTGTTTTTTTATGTCACTTTTTCCTCTCTCACTATTTTTGTATAGGAAAGCCATGGACTTTTGGGTATTGATTTTATAGCCTGCAGGTCCAGGGTTCTTAAGAAATCTGGCACACATAGTGTTCTGTTCTTAAAATGTGTGCAGATTAACTTATACATTCAATAAATTCTTTATTTTACCTCCCCCACTACGTGCTCTGAGGCAGACTACCTTGGGGAGTGGGGGTGAGAAAGAGAAAGGAGGGAAAAGGAAGAGTTGTGTCAGTCCTCGAGGTTGGTGGCATAGAGGGTCATGGAGGGGTGTCACCTACA